AGGATCTGACATTGCTCGGGTCAAGTTCTTCTTCTCAATGCCTCTCCGCTCCTCTTCTCCTATCCTTTTCGAATATTCTAACATCTAGGGTTGGAAGTGTTTCCCTCTCAGGAGACACAATGACGTTGAAGTCGAGGAAGCTTCGAAGTCAATAATGTCGTACAACTACATATATAATAAGAAAATGGTTCGCAGCGTGTGTTCCTTGAATCGTCCATCGGTTTAGATTTCATATGGGTGGCCGAGGGCACCGATTCGTGGCAGCCTGCGGAATGCTCTTCTCCGTTGATAAGTAGTTTGTACACGTATTTACATTTATGACTTGTTCGGAGCTAATCTTAGTCCTGCCTCTGTGTACAAGGGGAGAGTATTCTAGGAAAAGCAAATCATGTTTTAGTAGTAAGGATGGTAATTAGTGCAAGTAATGAAAGGGTAGGAGCCTAAATGAGGCGGAATAAAATTCAAAGAAAGTGACCGGTAGGGAGTTCCACCTTCGAGAACAATGTGAACTCGTTCTCTTTTTTTTTTTTTTCTCTCTTTTCCTTAGGTTTGATTATGTCTATCACTTGGAAACTTCACACACAACGGGAGGGGTCTTGAATGCATGTATGGATGGTCCCCGCCTACCGTCACCACCTAAATGATCGTCGGATTGGCGTCACGTGTCCATCAAATAACCAATTCGAAAAACTCCATAGCCCCTAATGTTGATCTTCGGCTTTGATGACCTCAGATTGAGACCCGTCCAAGGATGTGGCAGTGTGGGATGGAGCTAGAAGCCGGTGTCATAAAGAGAGAGAGAGAGAGCTATGATGGCGAAACCCGCAAAAAAGGTGTCCATGTAATGGCAGCAGCGTCGTCGCTGCGGGCTGAGGGATTGGGGAGATGGTAGAGGAGAGAGAAACAAAAAGAGACGAGGGACCAAGAAGTTTTCTCAGGAGTTTGTATTGAGTGAATAGGTGATGCAAATCTAATGGCGAAATGATTGGTACCGTAGATGAGTCAAACGCATATGAACAATATCGCCGTCCCTCCACCCAACCCAAGGCCACATTCGCATAGGGTCGTTCAAAGAGTACCCATGGGGTGGCGAACATTGCCGGGTGCTCCAAGAGTTTCGAACATCAACCGAGAGAAACTAAGGGTCGTGCCTCATTAGGGATTGGTCTCAATTTGATGATTGGGCTTCATGGGCTTGGCTAAGGCCTAACAAGACCCCAGGCATATCTTACCCAAGTAAGGCCCAGCCCATTGAGTAATTGGATTCAATGCAAGATTGTCACTATAGGATGACATCCGAGGAAAAAAAAAAAAATCCAATGTGGTACTTTAATTACCTATGTGTATTAGGGTGCACAAGGTGTTGGGCATTTTATTTATTATAAAAAACTCGGACAGAGTTAGGTTATCCATCTCCAGATTTTTTACGTCCACAAAATTAGGGGTCTAACGACGATTGTCTTTCGAAGTATGGGGATTGCCTAAATGCTCAAAATTTGTTTTTTTGTTATTTTCACGGATTTTTTAATGTCTAGCCAATTTAGTTGCCAATACATACTGCACTAAAGTCTAAATCTACTTTAGAATTACGCCCTAATATTTTGATAAGTGAACAGGTTGAGAATAATGGTCTTGAAGCGAATCCGCCATTCAATAATAATACTGTAAAAAGTCATCGAAATGACCACAAGGTGGACGTGCCGGAGTGGTTATCGGGCATGACTAGAAATCATGTGGGCTCTGCCCGCGCAGGTTCGAATCCTGCCGTTCACGTTTTCTTTTGCTCTTTCTTTCTTTCATTTTATTGACCATCTCATTGTTCTATTGGATGTCGGGGATGGTTAAGAGTAAAATAGCTCTCTTTTAAACCCGAGATGGGTCTTATGTTATTCTCATGGATCTAATAGTTGATATAAATTGAACTCATATAATTCGGGTGCACGTAATACTCTCTCTAGTAGTGCGGATTGGTAGAGGCGATTGAGGTTATTTTTATGGTGGTGCTAAAGTACCGTGAGCGCTTTAATAAAAAGAAACTGATGTTATAATTGTAGAAATACTGATATTATAATTGTCGTTTATCCATTTATATTTTTATTCAAGCCTCGGCAAGGACAAAAGGAGGGTGGAAGGGATTGAGTGAGCGAGCGTAAATAAGAAGTGAAAAGAGGATTTAGTGGAAGGAAAAATGAAGGAGGGATCTTTCGCCTGTGGCCGACGAGGGCAACCCTCGCTTGACCATCAATAGCTTTAAGACTTTTTTGATAATCTTTCTCATTTAAACATACAGGTATATTCTTCTGTCTTGTACGATAGGCTTTGCTATCGAGAGATATTGTATTCACTAAACTGAAATTTCTTCCATTTGCTTTCATTATGACATCTAATGGAAAGCAGATGATTCGTTCCATCTAAGTGCCGAATCCCAAAACCTTAAGCCTAGCATATGATTGCCTATTCTTACCTCTTTTCTTCCTCTCCGGAAGGTGCAAAGAAGATCATGCCGATTCACGTAACCTTTTGTTTTCCTGCATCTGAATGAGCAAGATCGACTCAAGATTGTTTAATGCTTTGGGATGATAGTGGAATCCTAATCAGCACGAAGCCGAGTTTCTTCATCGGTTCCTCCAAGGCGTCGCATGTTGACCAATCTAATCCTCCATCTGCAGCTTCTTCACGTTTAATTCTACATCATAATGTTCATCTTCCTTGGAAGTATCCCGCTTAATTAAAGTATTGTAGGCTCTTTCGACACGTAGAATTCCTCGTCGAACTAGAGTACCGGCTTCTACCTGACAGTATCACGACTGAAAATTCGGTTGGCATTACATGTAGTTCATCAAAATGTCCCGATTGATGTTATTTGGCCCCACCAATAGGTCAAAAGAAGACTCCAATTAGGGTTGCATTGTCGTGAGCAACTCCGTCATCGTCGTGAGCATCTCCGTCATCACTATCATGACAATGACATACACCGCCATTCCCACGTTAGAAAGAGAAAGGGATTTGTTTTGGCCTGCCGTAGCTAAACATTGACCGTATAACTTGCTTTCAAATTGGATGATGGTGTAGAAATGTAAGGCACACGGGAAAATTGTTACATTGAATGAGAGAGATTGAAGGATATACACACTAGCTAGTTAAACTTTTCATTCATCCAATGTTATTTGAACTTGTGGTTAGAGCAGGGTATTTGTGTATAGGATACATTACCATAACTTATTTAGACGGTGTGGGATTATAATGAACATAAAGAAACACAATTACTTGCAATTATCTCAGCATAGCATTTTGGCAGGTGACCCACATCAAAGCATCAAGTCATCATATAGGGAGAGATAAATTTGGAGTTCAATGATTCGAAGAAGTGCAAATTTGAATTGCTAACGATCCATGCAAGTTAGTACTCTTTACTGAAGAATTGAGAGTAGTTGTTCTTTATCAAGTCTGACCATATTATTTGATATTTCACCTTTTATGAAAATATTCAAAAGGCGCATCCAAAGCAATAAATTAACAACGAATGAACAAAATGGCAAAAAAAATCACCCCCCAAATTGGCACTCTCTCCCAATGATCTCTCCCGTGTTAACCTCTAAACTACATTCTCTCCCTTTTATTAGAACCTTAATCCTCTTCTTATTAAAAAAATTACTAAAAAATATGAGAAATCAAGTTATTAGAGCACGTCTTCCGTTACATGTCCTGTTGCAAGGAGTTTGAGAGAACATAACTTTGGGGGACGATATCTCATCGCTCAAGCATCTGGTTCGATTAATCATTTTTTTTTTGTCTCTGCTTAACTTTTTGACAAGCATTTCTTGACAAACGTGAGAGCACTAGAAAATAGATAGGATCAAGTTATTAAAACACGTCTCCCGTTATATATCCCGTCGAAAGGAGTTTGAGAGGGCAAATATTCGGGTAAAAACCAAAACTGTTGGAGATTCAAGATGGGTCTTGCAAAGCTCCCTTCAATACATTTATTTATTTTTATTTTTTATCTGTGCTTTCTCTTTTCCTTTGGCATACGAAAGCTCCAAACCCGTGGAAATTGGATTTATTCCAATGGAAAGCGGTCACGTAATCTCTTTTTGACTCGATTAATTAAATAAAAATATCATTGTCTCGCTTATCCCTTAGACTATGATTGCTTGAGACCAAAACTAGGGTTTGTGTCCATATTCTAATGGATAACTATGAGCTACGGCACTCTGTATAAAAAAACTAGGGTTTGTGTCCATATTCGTATGGGAGCTATCACCATAGCCAAGTTGACCGGCAACAAAAATAAAAAAAAGTCACAGAATCAATAAAAGCATTGAAAAATAAGTGATCACATTTCACGCTTTCGGCACGAAACCTATGATTTTTGTTTAGTTGACTATCGATTAATTATTATAAAGGATGTAAATTCCAAATCATTCTCTAACGCTCCATGTGAATCGCGTGCTGTGTTCTAGTTAAAAAGATTTTACGGGATGATTTTCTCGTGGCATTACAATAAGTTGCTACATTTATTTTTGCATAGAAATGTCGACAAGATCCGTGATCGGTAATTCTAGTAGGTGGCGGTAATTTTTTCAGCAAGTTAAATAATGATTTGATGTTAGTACGGCTATATAACTTCATAAATGTATCGATAAATCTTGTAAAATCGTTCTTCTTGGAATTAATTTCTTTCGGGCTGAAAAGAATTGGAGACGAGGAACAATTAGCAGTCAACCTTAGAAAAAAAATTAATTTCTTTCGGGCCCACATGCGGCAATAAATTGTCTTGATCAAACTTGTTAATTCAAAAAGAACTCCTCCGTCGATTTGAAAGCGACATCCTCACCTCATCCTTCATTCTCCTTCATTCACCTCATCTTTTGCGACCACTGATTTATTCTTTTAGTCATTATTCTAGCGTTTGCTTTGCGGCAAGTGGGAACATTACCATCAATAGGACAAAGTACATAGGAAAATTTGATTGCGGCTGCTCCTGCGGTTTCCTAAACCAATTGTTTCATTAATTAATTGAAATTTAAAGAAAAAGAAAAGAGAATTATGGTCCACTTCGTGCAACTTCGCCAATTTGAATCTCTTTATCCAAATCCTATATATAAAGAGCAAACATCCTATCCCTTCGTAGAAACCAAGACGCTCAGAACAACTCTCCAATTCATCTTGACTTCTGGATTTCTCTCATCTTCTTGACCAGAAAATCTCGATCTTGCTTCATACTTCATTCACATATGGAATTGATCCCAGGTCTACCCGACGACATAGCCCGAGAATGCTTGATCCGGGTCCCCTACGCCGGATTCTCTGCCGTCGCGTCCACGTGCAAGGGATGGAAGGTCGAGATCGAACTTACGCAGTTCCGGTCGCATCGCAGATCCGCGGGCCACAGCCAAACGATCTTCGTCATGGCTCAAGCCGTGCTCGACCCGGCCCGGAGCATCGGATTCGCGAAGGTTTGCCATGTCCCGGTTTACCGCCTGACCACTTTCGAGCCGGTTTCGGGTTCTTGGAGCGAGCTGCCGCCCCCTCCTGAGTTCTCTGGGGGCTTCCCCATGTTTTGCCAGTTGGCCGCCGCCGGATCGGATCTTGTTGTGATTGGCGGGCTTGACCCGGTTTCGTGGGAGGCCTCGAGTTCGGTGTACATCTACAGCTTTATAACTGCCACGTGGCGGCGCGGGGCCGACGTGCCGGGCGTACGGCGCTCGTTCTTCGGCTGCGCGTCAGACGGTGACTGCATGGTGTTCGTCGCCGGAGGCCATGACAACGAGAAGAAGGCGCTGAGGTCCGCAGTGCTGTATCACGTGGAAAGAGATGAGTGGGCGGCTTTGCCCGACATGGCGAGGGAGCGCGACGAGTGCAAGGGGATCTTCCATGGCGGCAAGTTCCACGTCATCGGCGGGTATGGCACCGAGATGCAAGGGAAGTTCGAGAAGAGCTGCGAGTCGTTCGACCCCGCGACGTGGCAGTGGAGCCCAGTGCGAGAGGACGCGTTGATGGCGAGCACGTGCCCGAGGACCTGCGTGGACGGCGACGCGGACGATCACTTGTACATGTGTAAGGATGGCGACGTGTTGGCCCTTGCTGGAACCACGTGGCGAGTCGAGGCTAAAATACCAGGTGACGTGTACAATCCTAGTCATGTGACAAAGTGGCAAGGGAAGTTACTGGTGATTGGGTCTCCCAGAGTCGGTGGGCCCCAAAAGGCTTACGTGTTGGACTTGAGTACGTGTACTTGGACAAACGTGGAGTCGCCGGAAAAGTTTTCCGGTCATGTTCAAGTTGGCTGTTGTGTGGAGATTTAGGAGGGACAAGACTGAGAAATAAAGCTCGTTGTGTACAGATTAAAAAATGCCACCATTCTAAAACTTGTTACTATTTAATTGTACTAGGCTAGGATTTTTTTTTTTGGGACGTTGGCGATAATATGTCATGAGATGCAAATTAGCGAGTTTTACGTGGAAAACCAAACAAGAGAAAATGAATTTTACTTGATTGGAAGTGGAACATAGGCAGGTTTTGCTAGTAGATTTTGGTCCTTGTATTATTTTTTTTCCTCTTTATCAAGAGGGTTTCATTCATGTCCGTAATTTACGGCATTAGACGAGTTTCTCTAACATAAACATCTTATCCTTGAATAACTTTGTACTCTAATTCTGTCCTTTCTCACAGATGTGCTACGCACATCTTATCCACAAGTTGGTGCTTGACCGCCTACCATTCGATGTCATAGAAGCATATTTGGCCTGATTGCAGCATGGTCCAATAAGACAAATTGATGTACTTTCTCTACAGTTTGTCCATTCGTTTCGCAGTTTTATCTCTTTGCTACTTCCTGTCTCGTTCTTACAGTCGTGAAATTGTGATAATGAGAGAAAGAATAGGGGAGAAAAGTTGCGCGTGTCGTGAAAATCACATGTGTTTATTACTGTACTTATATGTTACATGATAGTAAACCTAAGATCGCGACATATTACGGAATTAGTATACACATCTTCGACGATAGCATATCCTATAGCATATCCTATGCACACTTATTTAGGGCGTCATAAACAAGTCGACTGCAATTTCATTTTCAATCCAGTTTTCATTGTCTCAGAAGTTTTATGAGGACCGCAAAACGTGACATGAATTGTTGACACGGGTATAGAATTCATGTCAAGGAAAGCTGATTTTGGAATGAGACTTTTCTTGGAAGGAGACTTTTGGCTCTAATGCTAATGCTCTGAGTTTAGAATAACCAAGAAGGCAACAATGTAATAAAATCTAGGGAAAGTGAAATATTCACACGGGAAGCACCAAAACCAAACTATAATTCTTGGGAAAATAACATAAACAATCCCTGAACTTTAACCCAACGTGCAATATGATCTCTGAATTTTTAATTTGTTCAATGTGATCCTTGAACTTTAACTCAATATGCAATGTAATCCATAAACTTTTAATTTGTTCAATGTCATCTCTAAACTTTTTGTACATGTTCAATTTAGTCTCTGAACTATGTGAAAATATTCAATATAGTCTTTCCATTAATTTAAGTTTTATGATTACATTGAACATTTTCATATAATTCAGGAAATACATTGAATACGTACCAAAAGTCCAAGGACTATATTAAACAAATCAAAAGTTTAAGGACCACGTTGAATATTAAGTTGAAGTTCAGAGACTACATTGAATAAATTAAAAGTTCATGGTTCAAATTATAAATTGGGCCAAAGTTCAGGGACCGTTTGTGTTATTATCCCATAATTCTTTATGTTGCTTTCTTATTTCCCAAATGAATTGTTTAGGAGAATACCCTAACCTATTAACACCTCAGTGTCTTTTCAGATTTTCAATTTGTAAAGCTGCCTCACTCCCTCCACTTCCAATTTGTTTAGGGTTTCTTTTAAAACTTCATTCTTGGTGGGAAGAAAGTACTATATATATATATATATATAGGTGTTAATAACTGACCTTCCTCTGCCAGTCACATACAGACAATGAATTTCAATTCTTCTTAGCATGTTGGTCCTGTATCTACAATATGCTTTGTCTCTCGGGACATTTTATCATTTTGACCTGGATATTATTTTTCGGCAATCATGACCGACGCTTTTGACGGCCGAGCTTGCTTTTGTAAATCTACCTAATAAGCTTGTATCCCTCAAATTCTTAAAAGGTAATCGATTGTTAAACGAAAAAACTTCACCAAGAGGTCAAAAAAGAAAAGAAAAAAAAAGGAAAGAAGAGAAAAGGAAAAAAGAGAGAAAAAAAAGTAAGGAAGGAAAAGAGAAGAAAAGAAAAAATAAGGAAAAAAAATATTAACTAGTGAACCTCAAAACCTTAAACTGAACATATGATTGCCTATGCTTAGTTTTTTTCCTCCCTTGGAAGGTGCATGGAAGATCATGCCCATAAACACAGCCTTCTGCTTTTTGCACATGAATAAGCACGATCGAACCAAGATTGTCTGATGCTTTGGGACAATGGTGGAATCCTAATAAGCATGAAGCCGAGTTTCTTCATCGATTCTTCCAAGGCGTCCCACGTTTGACCATTCGATTCTTCATCCACACGCTCCAAGCCTTTGTCCGTTGCAAGCTTTCTTTAATACCCCTAACTGCTTCCGCACTTTCCATGCCATCGCTTTATCTTGAATTAGGGTTTTTCCATCTTCAAACTTGTTCTTTCACATTCGATTCACACCATACTGTTCATCTTCCTTGGAAGTATCCTGCTTGATTAGAACATTGTAGACCCTTTGACGCGTAGAATTTCCTCGTCAAACAAGAGGACCAGCTTTTGAGCCGACAGCATCATATTTGGAAATTCGGCAGCATACGATGTATAGTTCTATCAAATGTCCCGATTGATGTCGTTTGCCCCCACCTAGAGGTCAAAAGAAGACTGTGATAAGGGTTGCATTGTCGTCAGCATCACCATCACCGCTATCGTGACAATGACATACACCACCATACCGACATGCTTAAGAAGGTTGTTCTTTTAAATGAAAAAGAGCAACAGAGATTAGGAAGAGAAGGGATTTGATTTTGCCTGCCCTAGTCATACATCGACTGTATAACTTGCTTTTGAAACTGGATGTTGGTGTCAAATGCAAGGCACATGGGTAAATTGTTATATTGAATATGATTTAGCAGTTAACTTTATTGTTGATCCAATGCCATTTGGACTTGTGATTAGAGCAGGGTTTTTTTTCTTGGTTTTATGAGTTTGTGGATAAAAAGCTAGCTCACTTCCTGCCAAAGAGAAGAGGGTTTAAGGGAGAGAACAACTTAACTATGTCGTGCTGTACAAGTTTGGGACTTTTGGTGTCAAATTTTTTTTTTAAAGTAAATATGTTAAAGTGAGCATAGTTTAGGATTTTTGGTAATTTTTACCCAGATGTCTTTCACATAATCAGCCACACAATAGGCACTATCTGACAATGAAAAATTATGTACGCATAAAATAGAAAAAATAAATGAATTCGAATCCACACCCGCCCCTCTTGCTTCTTTCAATCTCGCCCTCTTATTAGAACATGACTGATTTTACGGACAAAAACTATGCCGTTGGAGATATAAGAGTGCCCTTATATCTTTGATTTGGGCCAAGTAGGGGTGGGAACAATACCATCAACGGGCCAAACGTACTTAGGAAAGTTTGAAGTTAGATAGAAAGAGAACCCAAAGTCCACTTCGTGGAAACGTCGCATCTTTTCCACCAATTTCAAACTCTCGTCCAAATCCTATAAGAAGCAAAACAATCCTATCCCTTCGTGGAAACCAAAGACAGTCAGAGCAACTCTCCAATTCATCTTGACTTCTGGATTTCTCTCATCTTCTTGACCAGAAAATCGCCATCTTGCTTCATTCTTCACTCACGTATGGAATTGATTCCAGGTCTACCCGACGACATAGCCCGAGAATGCTTGATCCGGGTCCCCTCCGCCGGATTCTCCGCCATCGCGTCCACGTGCAAGGGATGGAAGGCTGAGATCGAACTTCCACAGTTTCGGTCGCATCGCAAGTCCGCAGGCCACAGCCAAACGATCTTGGTCATGGCTCAAGCAGTGCTTGACCCAGCCCGGAGCATCGGATTCGCGAAGCTTTGCCACATCCCGGTTTACCGCCTGACCACTTTTGAGCCGGTTTCCGGTTCGTGGAGCGAGCTTCCGCCGCCTCCTGAGTTCTCCAGGGGCTTCCCCATGTTTTGCCAGTTGGCCGCCGCCGGGTCGGATCTTGTTGTTATTGGCGGGCTGGATCCGGTTTCGTGGGAGGCCTTGAGTTAGATCTACATCTATAGTTTTATAACCGCCACGTGGCGGCAAGGGGCCGACATGCCTGGCATACGACGCTCATTCTTTGGCTGCGCGTCGGACGGCAACCGCATGGTGTTTGTCGCCGGAGGCCACGATGGCGAGAAGAACGCGCTGAGGTCCGCAATGGCGTACCACGTGCAGAGAGATGAGTGGACGGCTTTGCCCGACATGGCGAGGGAGCGCGACGAGTGCAAGGGGATCTTCCAAGGCGGCAAGTTCCGCGTCATCGGTGGGTATGGCACCGAGATGCAGGGCAAGTTCGAGAAGAGCTGCGAAGCCTTCGACACCATGACGTGGCAGTGGGGCCCGGTGCGAGACGACGTGTTGATGCACGTGCCCGAGGACCTGCGTGGACGGCAACGCGGACGATCACTTGTACATATGCAAGGATGGCGACGTGTGAGCGCTTAGAGGACCTGCGTGGACGGCGATGCGGACGATCACTTGTACATATGCAAGGATGGCGACGTGTGGGCGCTTAGAGGACCCACGTGGCGGGTCGAGGCGAAAATACCCGGTGACGTGTACAATCCTAGTCATGTGACAAAGTGGAAAGGGAAGTTACTGGTGATTGGGTCTGCCAGAACTGGTGGGCCCCAAAAGGCTTACGTGTTCGACATGAGTACGTGTGCATGGACAAACGCGGAGCTGCCGGAAAAGTTTTCCGGTCATGTTCAGGTTGCCTGCTGTGTGGAGATTTAGGAGGAATGAGGCTGAGAAGTAAAGCGGCTTGTGTACAGATTCAAATATGAGATTATCCTTTGATTTGTTATGAGACACCGGTTGGGGCTGAACTTACTCATCCTTGAATAACTTGTATTCTCATTCTGTCCATATATATCGAATGTAACATTTTAAAATATGGAGAAAATTGTCTACAAAGTGCTAAACCTCTAGCGGCCAATTTAGTTATAAATCTTTCAATTGTGTCAATTTAATCATAAATATTTTGATGATTTACTAATTCAATCCTAAACCTTTTAAAGAATTGCCAATGTCGGTTTTCCAGTTAATTTTGGGCAAAAATCGCTGACGTGGAGGTCTAGTCAATGCCGGCTATCTTACGTGGCACGGCTAACGCTGACGTGGACAATTTTTAAAATTTTCTATAGAAATTTTCGAAATTTTTTTATTGATTTGAATAAGTGTAGAAGCACGTTAGGCGGTCCCGCCATATATGTGTAAAAAGTAGAAAACAAAAGAGAAAACAGAAAAAGGGAAAATTTTTCCGATGCCAAATGAGTCTCAATTCCTCTCAATCTTAACGTAGAAATGCATTTCAGCCATTCAATTATTCGTTAAAATAAGATGTGTCCTGATTTCGAGGTCCAAGATGGGGAAAGTACTTGTAAACTAGATATTCAAGATAGTGATTATAAGTAGGGGTGTGCAAAGGAGCCAGAAATTACTCGGACCGCTCGGAACCGGACCAGACTAACTCGGAACCGGCAGTTCCCGTGAGGACCAGTTCGATTCTAATTTACTAGAACCAGTGAGTACTGGTCCAATTTCCAGTTTTAGGCGTGAAACTGCCCACCCGTCCATTCGGATCGACCGGACTATTAATATATATATATATATATACATATATAATTTTTAAGAAAAATTTCAACAAAAGAAAAAAGAAAACCATAAAATTCCTAATTTGAAGCTCGACTCTCAACTCCCATCAACTCATGGCCACGCCATTAGCCGTTCATTGCCTCCCTCTCTCACTCTCGATCACCTCCATTTGCGTGAAACTTGATGGGACCGGTTCTATGGACCAACCCGAGAACCGGACCGGGCCAACGGTCCGATTCCCGGGTGGATCCATGGGATCAACGGGCGGTTTCCGGTTCCAATTTCTCGGATCCGGTCCTTAGTGGGCTGTTCTCGGTTTCATGTTGAGAACTGCTTGCCCGAACCAAGCTCACCTCTAATAATAAGAGCAAGAATTGTAGACAAAAATCGCGTATGTCACGGAGACCACACATGTGTTTATACATACGTTGCAGAATAACAAATCTAAGAGTACAACATACTCCAAAATCGGTTTGCACATCTATTATGATAACATTGCCTATTCCCACCACAAATTTAGGGTTTCACAAACAAGTCCAATGCAATTTCATCCTCAATCTAATTTTATCGGGTCACAAGTTTTATAGGGACCGTAAAACGTGACATGAATTGTCGCTACAGGATACAGAGTTCATTTCAAGAAAAGCAAATCTTGGAATGAGACATTTCTTGGAAGGAGACTTTTGGCTATGATGCAATCCGAGTTTAGAATAGGCTATTCTAAAGTATTCGCACTTGCAGCAGTATAATCAAAGTAGGATTCTTTATATCTTACCCTTAATTCATTATTTTGGCCATCCAACCTACTTAATAAAGCGGTTCAAGATGGAAGCATCATTGGGATCAAGTTGAATAGAAACTGTCCCACGCTGTCACACTTACTTTTTGCATATGACTCCATCTTTTTCCTAGATGGGAAGATTAAGAAAGATTGCCAAAATGTGGGGGCAGTTTTAAACCAGTATTGCTTCGCAACAGGACAAGCCATCAATCTCAACAAATCAGGGATTTTTTTCAGCAACGAATGTCCAAGGAGTCTTCGCAGGAATATGGCAAATGAATTAAGGGTGCCGGAGATAGAAAAAACAGGAAAATACTTGGGGATTCCATCAAATTGGGGACAAACGAAAAAACAAATGTTTGCATGGATCTTGGCAAGAGTCAATATGAAACTCGAAGGATGGAAAGGGAAACTAATAACCAAGGCAGGAAAAGAGATACTGATTAAAGCAGTGGTGCAGGCCCTCCCACATTATGCAATGTCAATTTTTAAAATCCCCATATCCATTTGTCGTTCGATCGAACAAAAAATTGCAACATTTTGGTGGAAAAACAACGAATCCAAGACGGGCCTACATTGGAAGAGATGGGATGTTCTGAAAAGAAGAAAGGATAGCGGGGGAATGGGGTTCAAGGATTTGATAACCTTCAACAAGGCCGTGTTTGGTAAACAAGCGTGGAGAGTTTTTCAAAACCCATCAAGTTTATGGGTGCAGCTTTTGAAAGGGCTCTACTACCCCAATAACAATTTCTGGAATGCAGGAAATGGGTCACATTCATCGTGGGGATGGCAAAGCATACTAATGGGCAGAGAGCACATCCCCAAAGCAGTAAAATGGAGTGTGGGTAATGGAGAAGACATAAGCGTTAGAAATGATCAGTGGCTTCAGAGAGGAATAATTGGAAGTGAGGCAAGACAGGGGGAACCTCAGAAAGTGGCAGATTTAATTAACCAGGAGGACTATAGTTGGGATGAACAGATGATAAAGAGTATGTTCGATGAGCAGATAGCTGAGCAAATATTAGCAATTCCGCTAAGACCTAACGCTGAGAAAGACAAGCTAATGTGGACCTGCACCAAGTCAGGACAATATTCAGTGAAAAGTGCCTACAACTATGCAAGAGTGACGGATGAACAACAACAACCACACAGAGCCACATCTTCCTATCAACCACCAAAAGCACTATGGAATCTGATATGGAACCTGAACACCCCTCCGAAAGTCAAGTTGTTCATTTGGAGTATGTGCCAAAACGCTATTCCCACGGCAGAGAATTTGCACATAAGGAAAATCGTACCTAAGCCCTTATGCCCTCTTTGTCGCAAGCACCCAGAGACTGTAGAACATATCTTTCTTCTCTGTGAATGGACCAAACAGGTTTGGACGCACCCTGATTTGAACATTACATTCACAGATAAAGGCTTGAGATGAATGGAAGAATGGTTTCTGGAGAAAGGAAACAATTTTAACAAAAATCCCTCACCTGAGCTACTAGCCGAGATCCTATGGAACATCTGGAAGTCAAGAAACAATCACGTATTTGGTCAACAGAACCCAGAGCCGAGGTGGGTCGTGGAAGCTGCCATGGCGTCACGCAAGAACTTCGAGAAGTGGAACCCGGGAAAGAAAAAACACAATCGACCGATCGCTCACTCACCTGCCATATGGAAGCCACCGCCGGTAGGTACCCTCAAAATTAACGTTGATGGGTCCTTTGTGGAAGGAGATAACGAAGGTAGTGTTGCCTGTGTATGCCGAGATGCCTCTGGGAAGATCGTTGACGGTTTTGCAAAGAAGGTGCGAGCGTCTTCTCCGGCGCAAATCGAAACCCTAGCCTGTTGGGAAGCACTTCACCACTTTAGTTCGTACTCTCACTTAAAGTACCAGCTTGAGTCAGACTGTAGCTATCTGATAAGTGCCCTCACAGATCAAGATAAGCCATCCTGGGAAATAGACTCGCTGATCTCTGCGTGCAAAGCTCTGATGGGCCACTTCAAAAGCTTACAATTGGCCTATTGTCCAAGAGAAGCAAATCAAATAGCGGATTGGGTCTCTAAGGCCCACAGACGAAACGAGCTCTCTAGTAATTGGACCTCTAATCCCCCGAAAATCCTATGGGATCTAATGTGTTCTGAGGTTCCTTTTTCATGTAATAGTGGTATCCCTTAAAGCGATGAATGAAGCAAGTATTTTCTTCGATAAAAAAAAAAACACTTTCCAAATCGGTGTCTTTTCAGATTTTCAATTTATTAATCTGCCTAACTCCCTCCACTTCCATTTGTTTAGGGTTTCTTTTGGAACTCCTCTCTTGATGGGTTGAAGCTATTATTAGTAGGGGTGTGCAAAAGAACCGGAACCCACCCGGACCGCTCGGAACCGCCCGGAACTGGACCGGTGGTTCCCAACGGAACCGGTCCGGTTCCCGGTTCCAATTTTTTGGAACCGGTACTGTTTGGGCCGGTTCCCGGTTCTCGGTGTGGAACCGCCCACCCGCCCACCCGGACCGGACCGGTAATATAATAATAATATATTTTATTTTTTAAATTTTTAATTAAAAAAATCTGACAAAAAAAAATTTTAAAAAAAAGAAGAAAATTTGTTATCATGTTTAAAGCTCCTGTGTAGTTGGGATACCTTGGTCATTTTTCCCAATAATTAATGGGTACCCACTTGATTTATGGATGATATGGTTCATATAATCGATCATAGTGTAGGAATTGTATGAAAAGTTATGTTTTTTTTCCTTTTGTTCTGTTGATCCGATGTTGGTCTACAGATTTTTTTTTTATTTGTATAGGAAAACTTGTTGAGACCGGTTCCATGGACCCCCCCAAGAACCGGACCGGACCGGCGGTCCGATTTTCGGGCAGGTCCATGAAACCGACGGGCGGTTCTCGGTTCCAATTTTTGGAACCGGTCCTGTAGCGGGCGGTCCACGGTTCCGGAGTGGGAACCGCCCACTCGGACCATGCACACCCCTAATTATTAGAGAGAGACAAGGCCAGCAGCATTCATACCAAGGTCCATTTGTTAGAAGAAAAACCGTTTTCAAGAAATTTTTTTTCGATTTTTCGATATTTGGACGACGAAAAACTAATCGATATGCGAAAAATATTTTCCATGAATCGAAAAAATCAAGCTTAGATTGAAGGGAAATGACTTCTAAAAGCCAAATAAATGAAAACTAACTATTTTCCTTGAAAATAATTTTTATGGAAAATAATTTTCTTTATCACGAAATTTTCAGTAAAACAAATGTACCGTAAAAGGAGAAAGAGAGAACAAATAGCCCGGAAGTTAGAAGGGATATGCTTGTTCAACACCTGGAACAGACCTTCCCCTGACAGACACGTGCAAATAATGATTTTAATGTGTTCTTAGCATGTTGATCATGTATGTATAACAGTGCAATATAACTTTATTATACTTTACCCCAACAATATGCTTTCTCTCTTGGGGACATTTTTGTTTATGTTATTATTTTGACCTGGAAATCAAATATCATTAATTCATGTTTCGCTTTTTTTTTAGATATCAGAATGAAGCACATGCGAGGTGATGTCATTATTGTAGAAAGTATTATTAAAAAGATCAATTGAAGGTTGTAAGTTGCAAGCATTAGCTACTAAAGTTTATTTGACCCTGTACATAATTAATGAACTACATGTAACCTGGCCTCGAAAATCACTTTCCATGATCAACCACGTTTCTCTTAAAGTCAAATGGATTGCTCCGTATATAAATGTCAAATACGTAATGCCTAACATCGAATGTCATATCTAATCTAAGATCTTATATAAATAGTGGATCGATTACAACATGAAAAAGTGGACATGTATTGATGTGGTCATGCTATGTGGCATGTTCATATGATGATCACACTAATTTGTACCTAAAAAGCCTTATCATAAATATATATGGTTAGTGTAATCCTCATTATGTATATGTTCAACGCACATTAATTACGTGATTTTATTAGTTCTTATATTTTGATTTAATCATGTGCAAACATTACGAGTAGAGATGAGCGATTTCAAGTTCTGCATAGATTTCACTTGGAATCTGAAACCTACGCTTTAGAACAGGTATAGTTTGCGATTTTAGTGATCTTTTCTCTAAAAAAACAATAATTGAAGACAGGGAAAGAGAGAGAAAGGGCGGTGTTTCGATAAGTTCACTAAAAGAGAAAGAGTACCTTAGCCGAAATGAGGTTGAAACTAGCGCCGTCCTTTATTTATTTCTTTAATGCTTTATCTTCTCCTTTGGCGATACGAAATCAAGCAGCAGTGGTTAATGGATTATCCAAATGAAAAAGGGGTCACATTCTCTCTTTTTGACTTGACCAATCAAAGCAAAACATCATCGTTCCCTTATCCATTAGATTCTCTCATTGGCCGAGTCTAAACCAAGGGATTTCCATCAGCAAGATTTGTGTCCATATTCTAATGGATAACCGTGAGACGCGCACTTTGTATGTATGGCCAAGTTGCTGGTTTGCTGGTAAATAAATTCACGGACAAGGTGGTCAGCCATTAAAAAACAATAAAAAAGCATCGAAACACAATCGATCACGCTTCACCCTTCTAGCACGAAAGCTCGAAATTTTAATTTTAGCATATGATAGCAAAAATTTGTCGATGATGATTAAATTAGTAAATCATGTTTAGTGCTGCCCAAATCGTTATTTTGGGAATTAATTTCTTTTGGCCATAGAGAATCGGATAGGGAAAGCAAATTAGCAGTCAACTTTGGAATATAAGGAAGGTGCCCACATGCGGCAATAAATGTCTCGATCGGACTTTGTTAATTGAAAAGGAATTCTTGCGTGGGCTTGAACCGACGTTCCGATCTGATCTCTTCCTTGTTACCTCCCTCGAAATCTGATCCATATCCAATTTTGGCCACTGTAACAAATCTAATCAGTGAATCAGCACGGTAGATTTGGTCCTCGACAATTGATTTCTGGTCATATTCTTATCCTTTGCTTTGTGGCAAGTGGGGACAATACCATCCATAGGACAACGTACCTAGAAAAGTTTTTAATGGGGGCTTGCTCCTGTGGTTTCCAAAGCCAATTGTGTCATTAATTGATTGAATTCAACAAAAAGAAAATGTTGGAAAGGGGACCAAAATCCACTTTGAGAAACGTCGCATCTCTCCACCAATATGAAACTCTTAACAAAATCTTATAAAAAGCAAACTTTGCATCCCCTTCGTACTTAGAACCAAGACACTCGATCAAACTATCCATTTCATCTGACCTCTGGATTTCTCTCGTCTTCTTGACCCAAATTTGTAATCTTCCTTGGTACTTTATTCATCTATGGAGTTGATTCCTGGTCTTCCCGACGACATAGCCCGAGAATGCTTGATCCGGGTCCCCTACGCCGGATTCTCTACCGTCAGGTCCACATGCAAGAGATGGAAGGCCGAGATCGAACTTCCACAGTTTCGGTCGCATCGCAAATCAGCGGGCCACAGCCAAACAATCTTCGTCATGGCTCAAGCTGTAACTGACCCGACCCGAAACATCGGACTCGCGAAGGTTTGCCATGTCCCGGTTTACCGCCTGACCACTTTTGAGCCGGTTTCGGGCTCTTGGAGTGAGCTGCCCCCGCCTCCCGGGTTCTGTGGGGGCTTCCCCATGTTTTGCCAGTTGGCCGCCGCCAGGTCGGATCTTGTTGTGATCGGCGGGCTCGATCCGGTTTCGTGGGAGGCCTCGAGTTCGGTCTACATCTACAGTTTTATAACCTCCACGTGGCGGCGTGGGGCCGACATGCCGGGCGCACAACGCTCATTCTTCGGCTGCGCGTCGGATGGGGACCGCGTGGTGTTCGTGGCCGGAGGCCATGACAGCGAGAAGAACGCATTGAGGTCCGCAGTGGCGTACCTTTTGGAAAGAGACGAGTGGGCGGCTTTGCCCGACATGTCAAGGGAGCGGGACGAGTGCAAGGGGATCTTCCGCAGCGGCAAGTTCCATGTCATCGGCGGGTATGGCACCGAGATGCAGGGCAAGTTCGAGAAGAGCTGCGAGGCCTTCGACGCCGCGACGTGGCAGTGGGGCCAGGTGCGGGAAGAAGCATTGATGGCGAGCACGTGCCCGAGGACCTGCGTGGAAGGTGACGCGGACGACCACTTGTACATGTGTAAGGATGGCGACGTGTTGGCGCTTAGAGGATCCACGTGGCGAGTCGAGGCTAAAATACCCGGTGACGTGCACAATCCTAGTAATGTGACAAAGTGGCAAGGGAAGTTGCTTGTGATTGGGTCTCCCAGAATCGGTGAGCCCCAAGAGGCTTACGTGTTGGACATGAGTACGTGTACATGGACAAACGTGGAGTTGCCGGAAAAGTTTTCCGGCCATGTTCAAGTTGGCTGTTGTGTGGAGATTTAGGAGGGGCAAGACTGAGAAATATATAAAGCGTCTTGTGTACAGATTAAATATGAAACTATTGTTGGATTTATTACAATTTAATTGTATAGGCGAGGGTTTTTTCAGGGACGTCTAATCGATGCCATGAGATGCGGTTTAGCGAGTGCAATGTGAGAAATTTTACATGATTGGAAGTGGAACATATGCCGGTTTGGCTATAGTACATTTTGGTCTGAGTTTAGAATAGCCAACAGGATAATTAAATCTAGGGCAAGTCAAATTCGCGTCATTCAGCAGCAAAATCAAACTAACATTCTTTATGTTGCTCTTTTTATTTCCCAAATGAAATTGCTTAGGAGAAGCTCCTAACCTACTGACACTTTCCAAAACGGTGTCTATTCAGATTTCAATTTGTTAAATTGGCCGACTCCCTCTACTTCCATTTGCTTTGGGTTTCTTTTGGAACTTCTCTTTGGAGGGTTGAAGCTCATATTAGAGAGAGAGAGAGAGAGAGAGAGAGAGAACCAGTCGCATTCACATTAAATATGACCTAGCAGCAGGTGTTAGTCACACGCAAATAATGGTTTTCACGTGTTCTTTCTCTCTTGGGACATTTTTTTTGTTTAGGGCTAATTATCCAAAAAGTCTTAAACTTATTGTACGGTAATCAAATTACTCCTAAGATTTTCAATTTTATCAATTTAGTTCTAAACTTTTTAACGATTCTCCATTGTAGTCCTTCCGGCCGGAAATCGATAATGTGTTGATCCAGTCAATACTTACTCTCCCACGTGACATGACAAGCGCTAATGTGGACGATATTTGTAATTTTTTAAAAGAATTTATGAATTTTTTCTGTTTTTTCATTTTCTTTTATCTTTCTTATCCTATTTCCTTCCGCCGATTGCTGGGGCCTCGGTGATGGCCGGTGACCTCCATCGGCCACAAGTGAGGGCCACAACTCCCTCGCCTATGATTGGCGAGGGTTGTGATTGCCCATATTTGGTGAGGGCGTGGAGGCCCTCACCTGTGGCCGGCAACTTTCGTTGGCCATTGTCGAGGCCCTAGTGATCGGTTGAGGGAAATAAAAAAAATATGAAAAAAGAAAATGAAAAAAGAGAAGATTAAAAAAAATTGCAAAAATCGTCTACATCAGCACCAATCATTCCACATAGGATGGCCGGCACTCACTAATTTGCCGCATCAGCAATCTCCGATCAGAAGGACTACATTGTGAAATCATCAAAATGTTTAGAACTAAATTAGTCAAATTAGAAAGTTTAAGACTGAATCATCCGCTGTATAATAGGATTATGATTTGGACAATTCTTCATTTTGTTTATATTAACATATTGACTTGGAAATTAACTTTAGTCAATCATAACCAACAGTTTTGACGGCCGAGGTTTAATCTACGTAAGAAACTTGTATCCCCCAAATTCTACGGCCAAAAAAAAGGAAAAAAATGGTAATCAATTGTGCTATCATGCTATTCCACCAAGAGGTCAAAAGAAGACATTTTGATGTTATTGTATTCTCATCACTTACGTCACCATTCTAACGTGCTATTACCTTAATTTTTCCTTTGAATACCATGTCTAGTCTAAGAAAATATCTCTATTGTGAATGTAATTGATGGTTTTGTCCATTTGATAGACCATCTCTTCACAAATTCAATCAACCATTCCCCGCGGATACCAATACCTAAAAGATATAATTAACAAGAAAATATTAAGGGCCAAAATTAGTAATATAGGCGAATTTATGATGTTTCATTTTTGTTCTTTCCAAAGCACAACGAAATTTCAAAAGTAATTCATCTATGCGATCTCCTATTTTGGGCGATATATGTGGTATATTGCTCTTTCATGAATGCAATTTTGAGCCATGTGATTCACCTCTGCCCGTTGAGTCTACAATAGACGGTTACATGGAAACACAAGAAAAAAGAAGAAGAAGATATCTACACTTATTCTAATTAAAATCATTTTATAATTGATCTCTCTTTTCTCACGAATGAAACATGCGATTCATAAGTCAATGAGATCGCATGTTACGTAGTGTGTCATTCTGCATTTTAGACTATAATGTCCATAATATTGAATGCAAAGCATGTTCAAAACATTATCAATCTATTTTACATATTATTAACGTATTGCGGGATGGTCGAAGCTGACTTTAGTGTGCATGACTTTTGAAAGAGTAGATTCAGAGGTTAACAACAATAAGCAAATGTCGAAAGTCCCACAATTTTGTGAGGCGATCTTAATATTCTAGTGAGAATGATCAATCGAAGGCTGTAAGTTGCAAACTTGGTGAGTATCTGACCTAGTAAATAATTATTAATTAATGAAGTACATGTAACTTGGGTTTGAAATCACTTGCCGTGATCACCACGTTTCTCTTGAAGTCAAACGGATTGCTCTTTGTATAAATGTCAACTACGTAATGTCTAACATCAAATGTCATGTCTGATCTAAGATCTCCTCGACGACAACATGAAAAAGTGGACATGAATTGATGTGGTCATGCTACATCAATAATTATTCAAAAAGTCATAAACTTATTAATATTTTATTGTCAATTCAGTCCAAATTTTTTTTATGATTTGCCAGTATAGTCCTTTCAGTCAATTTTGACAAAAGAATCACTAACATAGATATTGATTATCTTACGTGGCACGATCATCATGTCAGCGACTACTAGCCAAAATTGACCAGAATAACTATATTTGCAAATTGTCAAAAGATTTATATCTAAATTGGCAAATCATCAAAGGCTTATGACTAAATTGATGAAATTGAAAAGCTTATAACTGGATTGACTGACGTATAGTAGGTTTAGCATTTGTTGAATTATTATCCCCCTATATGTTGATCACACAAATTCGTACCCAAAAGCCTTATCATAAATATATGTTGTTAGTGTAATTACTATAATTTAGATAAACCCTACATGTTAATTATGCCATTTTATGTGTGAAATCAAATTGATGGCAGCTCCCTGACGTTTTTTTGCTAAAAAATGATGTATTTTGGACCTTCGATCATCCTTTACACTTAAGAATTTTATATAAAACTAAAATATAACAATTCATTCCTTGATTGATTTCGACATTAAAATAAACTTTTAACTTGATTAGTAGGGCACCGTTTGTTTTACGAAAAATGAATGATATGGAAAACATTTCTCTAGAATGATCGGTTGAAATAATTAATTATTGAAAAATATTTTATTATCAATAATAATTTATATCTAAATATTTTTGTGGACAATGAAGATATTATTTATTTATTTATTTATGTAAGCGATATAAATGATTATTTTTTGAAAAATATTTTTCGAATAATTTATTTCTCAGAAAACATATTGAAACTACCTCTTCCATGCATTTAATTTTGGCTAAACCTTCGTCATAAATTCTGCCTACCAATGTACGACCTAGCACTTCTTCATTTTACATTGAATTTCGAGTGAACCAACATTAAAAAGCAAATTCAATGTCTAATTTCAGACCATCTTCTTGTACCTGCAATGCCAATGCGTGTCTTGTTTCAGTTAAACATCGTATCAAATACTATGGATAAAGCTTCTATCTTCGTCCTAACTCATTCACGTCGGTACCAATGTATTTGGACTTCCTACTTTAATTTTATGCCCTGTTCCTGCCGGTTTATTGTAAACGAAAAATACCTTGTCATATATAATGCAAGTTCAGGCACCCGCTCCTCGGTATAAGTTCTTCAGAGATTACTAAGGTAATTAACTCTTTTCTCGGAAAAACATTTTCATTAACCATGGCGAATTGGGATTTGGAATCACAAATACGATCCGTTTATTTCACGGAGGACATTTTTTGAAAAAAACATATTTTCTTATTTTCTGGCATTTGGATCAATTAGAAAAATGAGTCAATGGTAAACCTACGTTTAAGTTTAGGACAAATCGTAAATCATTTTCCAAAATATGATTAGATATCGGTGCTTGGACCAAAAACTCTGTGTTTGTGGCACGGAAACCCTAATGCTCAATCACGGGTCCTTGGCATTTAGGACCAGGTCCTCGACACCTGGGCTCAAGTCCATTAAAGCCGAGCCCGCAACCCTAATCCTCATGCCTGGAATCCCGTGCTCCAGACTAGGTGCCTGGTGCCTAGACCTTGGTTCTCGGTGCCCATATCCCAATCTCAGTGTCCATGCTCGAGTCCATTGAGGCCGAGCCTTATACCCCAATGCCAGTGCTTGGGTCTCCAATGCTCGAGTCTCTAGCACCCAAGCCTAGGTCCAGCGAAGCAAGGTCCGAGGCCCTGATGTCCGTGCTTGATGCCATGGCACCATAATTAAGTCCAAAAAGACAAAGCATGAGACCCCGATACTCATGCCCGAATCCCCCGTGCTTAGGCTCGAGTCCATAAAGGCAGTCCTTGGATCCTTATGCTTATGCCCAAATCCCCCGCACCCGAGCTAGGGTCCATTGAGGCCGAGGCTTGGGACCTTGGTGCCCATGCTCGAGTTCGGCTGGATTCCATCGAGGCCAAGCTCGAAACCTCGGTACCCGTACTCGAGTCCTTGGGCTTGAAACTTAACACTAGTGCCCGAATATCTTGTGCCAAGCTTGGGACCCCAACACCCATGCCCAGGTCCATTGGGGCCAGGCCTAAGACCTAATGATATTGCCTAGGTTCTTGATGCCTGGGCTCATGTCTCTCGATTTTGAGCTCGGTGACACCTGACCTCAATGGACCCAAGCCTGGTCATTAAGGACTCGAGCATGGTCGTCACAAACCCAAGTACGGGCACTGGTGTCCCTAGGCCAGCCTCGATGGACTAGGGCTCTAATGTTAGGGACTCGAGTTTGATCACGAGGGAACTAGGTCACCCGGGTCCCGCTCTTGGCCTTTGTAGACCTTAGCCCGAGTGCCGAGGATCTGAGCACGAGCATTGGGGCCTCGAGCCTAGCCTCTGTGGAGCCCGGCTGTGGCGCCAAGAAGTCATGCATGGGCACCAAGTTTCCGTTTTCAACTTCTATGAACCTGGGATTAGTACATGCACTTTTTCTTGGTACCCAAGTGGCCTTACTTGGGTCTCCGGTGCTTGCATGGGGGGTGCATTGAGGCTGGACCCCGGATTATGGTGCCGGTGCTTGTCCTTACCTATCTATGCTCAAGTCACCGGCACCTAAACAGTGTATGTGTATTTAAGAAAATCAAATCATAATTTTATTTCCAAACGACGGAAAATATTTTCCGTTTTTTTTTACTATTTTAGCCAAACACAGAAAATTAATTTCCTAAAAAACATTTTCCATAAATATAACATTTTTCGCGGAACAAGGAGAGTACTCAACTCTGTGATAATTCTTCAAAAGCTCATGAGCCAAGAGTCCCTTTCAAATCTATACCATGTTGATGCATTAATAAAAGGGAAAAAGCCACCAAAAGTCATAAACTACGTTACTATAATACATTTATCCTAAATAATTTTTTGTGACACAAAAAAACTCCAAACTTATATCCATGTGACTCATTTATTTTTAGGGTTCGTTAGCAATTTCTGCGTCGATGGAACCGCCACGTTGCCATCTGATTCCGTCGTCTCTCTCCCTCTCCTTGTCAATCGATCAAACCCAGAGACAAGAGTGCGGATTTGTTCGCTCCGAACTGGAAGACGATTCCAAACGAGGATGATTGAATGGGACTATACATTCAACAATGGCGTCGGTCCCTTGGAGGCCATTAATTAAATCGCGTTCGACGACTCCGAAATGCAAAAATATTCTTCGTCATCAATGCCGTCAACCACAAAAGTCCACCAACACGCATTTCAAGTTTAACAACGGCGGGTTTCTCTGTGGTCTCCCCTCGTAAATACGACGCCCTGCTCTCTCGATCTCGAACGTCGCGTCGCTTCGCTTCGCACGCGCATCCCTCGCTATAAAAGGTGCAAACCGCCCACTTTTTCCGACACCACAAGCCCCATAAGCAGCAAAACAACGTTCCCAATCCCAATCCCAATCCTATCCAGAGCCTTCTTGCTCTCCTGGTTCCTAGTTCTGGGTCGTTCTCGTCTTCTTGAACCGAAGACAAACGTTCTTGCTCCATCTTTCGTTCGAATTATGGAATTGATCCCCGGTCTACCCGACGACATAGCACGAGAATGCTTGATCCGTGTGCCTTACGGCGGGTTCTCTACCGTCGCGTCCACGTGCAAGGGGTGGAAGTCCGAGATAGAGCGTCCACAGTTTCGGTCGCAGCGCAAATCCGCGGGCCACAGCCAGACCATCGTCGTCATGGCTCAGGCCGTGCCCGACCCGAGCCGAGAAACCGGGTTCTCGAAGCTGTCCCACGGCCCGGTTTACCGCCTGACCGCCTTCGAGCCGCTCTCCGGTTGCTGGAGCGAGTTGCCGCCGCCTCCCGAGTTCTCCGGGGGCTTCCCTATGTTTTGCCAGTTGGCAGCTGCTGGGTCGGATCTCGTCCTCGTCGGCGGGCTGGATCCGGTTTCGTGGGAGGCCTCCAGCTCGGTCTATGTCTATAGTTTTATGACCGGCACGTGGCGGCGCGGGGCCGACATGCCGGGAGTGAGGCGGTCCTTCTTCGGGTGCGCGTCGGATGGGGATCGGGTGGTGTTCGTGGCCAGCGGGCACGACGGAGAGAAGAACGCCCTGAGATCCGCCCTGGCGTACCACGTGGAAAGGGACCAGTGGGTCCCGTTGCCCGACATGGCGAGGGAGCGCGACGAGTGCAAGGCGATCTTCCGCCGTGGCAAGTTCCACGTCGTCGGCGGATACAACACCGCGATGCAGGGGAAGTTCGAGAAGAGCTCCGAGGAGTTCGACCCGGCCACGTGGCAGTGGGGCCCGGTGCGGGAGGATCTCCTGGCGGCCAGCACGTGCCCGATGACATGCGTGGACGGCGACGGGGATGATGACCTGTACATGTGTAGGGACGGCGACGTGCTGGCGCTCAGAGGGCGCACGTGGCGGGCGGTGGCTAAAGTACCGGCGGACGTGTCCAATCCAGCTCATGTGACAAAGTGGCAAGGGAAGTTGCTCGTGATTGGGTCTCCAAGATCCGGCGGGGCCCAGAAGGTTTATGCGTTGGACACGAGTTCATCTAATTGGATCAGCATCGAGTCGCCGGAGAAATTCTCCGGCCATGTTCAGGCCGGGTCTTGTTTGGAAATTTAGGGGAATCCAAGTTGACTGCGGGAATTGTGTATATAATAGCACGGAGATGAAACTTTTGTTATGGTATTACTGTACATTGTATTATACTCAATACATCTTTGCAAAATCATGTAATTAGCGAGCGTCACGTCAAGTCACTGCATACGTGATTGTTTCTGCCGATATGGATGATGAAACTACATTAATTTTCCCAAATGACGTGTCGACCACGGTATTACTTCTTTACTTGCACCACATGATCAAAGCATATATCCATATCGATCAACGCATAGTCCATTCTCTTCATCATTCGCTCGAAGTCGAAGCAGCAAACGATTGTGGTGTAGCTGCCTTGTGCTCGTGCATGATGAGGTTGTTTGACTTTCCTAAATGGTTATGTGCAAATAATGTCCACCGACCATTCCAATTTCAAGTAAACAAGTACGATTCCGATTCCCTTGAAGCAACCATGAGGTTATGCACGTTAAGTCATACGCCTAAGCTTGTGTGCCGTGCTCCTGTATGTTGCTTTAACCTGGTCAACGATTCATTCCCTTTTCACATTCATACGTCAGAAGCAATCTGCTGGAATTGCACTAGGGCTTAAGCCTCTACAAATATTTGGCCTTGCGATCATCTTTTCGTTTGCTTTGAGAAGGCAGTGTGGTCAACTGGCCACGTTCCCTTGCGGTTGGTCACAAGCAGGGAAACTTGCGGTAGCATAAGATATTAGTTGGAACCAATTGATAACGAGAGGAAACAGAATGAGCGGAGTCGGAACTTAGAAAAGGCGTTCGAGTTAGAAAGTTCATGAAGATAAGGCCATGTAGCTTCATCTCTCATTCACACTCAACTTTTTGCCCAGTCGGCGCAGAACGATTCCAATGTCAAATACCTACTATTCAACTCACAATCAAGCGACTTGCTTCCAAAGGCCGTGTTGGGAACATGAGACGTATATTGGAAGATGAAGTATTAGCCAGCATCCACGTCATGACAGTGAATCGCTTTGGACATGAATGGTAAGGATCAACGACAAAATGAAGAGAAAAAATACGGAAGAGGGAAAGAAATACCTATTATGACCACCATATCTCTTCACCTTCTAAAATGTATGGATCCTTGATCAATCGTTGGCCAAATAGTTTGGCCGGCATGTGAGCTCTTAGAAACCACTCGCCCTGTGAAAGAAAGTGATTCTCCAATGGTAAAAGGTCCCTCATCTCATGCATCTGGAGAGAACCACAGCGAATTTCTTGTATATGTGCTGTTTCAAGTACATCTTCTCCACCTTCTTCCTCCCCTTCATCCCCATTTGCTCCCTCAACGCTGGTTCTCTAAGCAAGTACCGGATGTTTCTGGCAAGTGCTTCAATTCCAGGACGACCAGGAGGGTAAAGAAGGCCCGTTTCGTTGTGATCGACAATCTCTTTTGTACCTCCTGCATCTGTTCCGAGCACCTGGTCCATTTTAAGGGAAGTGAGCAAGGAAATATCTAGTTGATCATCCCGGTTGCTGCCTTTACATACAAGTTGGACAGAAGGTACATTTCTCAATGCACCTTCTTTAAAATGGTGTAAGATGAAACCAATTAAATGCATTTAAGACAAAAAGAAATTTCCTTTCATAACAAGAAACGTGAAGGACAGAAACCAAAGACTTCTGCAGGTAGAAGCACTGCCAATGTTTCACGCAAGCATTCGACTCTAAATGTAATAGAAACCTGGTCAATAATCATACCGGAAGGCCAAACGCCATAGCTTCAATTGTAACTCTTCCAAACGTCTCTCCCATGCCCTGCACAAAAATTTCAAAATTTATACAACAGCAAACAGAACTCAGCCATGATATAAACTTGAATAAACAAAACTAAAAATCTAAGTGTGGAGACGAGCCATATATGTAAATCCTAGGCACTTGACCCACTCTGCAACAACCCTGAATTCGTTCCAATTTCTCACACCTGTTACTGGGGCAACTTCATGCCCACCAGAATGTTTTTTGTATTTTATTTTTCATTTTGGGTCAATGCCATTAGACGATTGGACCATAAACCAACACCTTGTCGTTTCAATTAAAAATTAACCTAGATGGTGATATGTCAGAGATTGTTTAATTAGAAATATCCACGAAAAATTATCTATAGATCTTCGTTCTTAGTTTCATTATCATCTCAGCACTTGCTTTATTGCTAAATAGCTGCTTTACAAATCAGGCTAAAGATTTGGAGCAGAAGAAGAAATCAGTCTGCAACAAAAGAGCATTCCAGATTTTTATGAGTGTCATGTGCCAATAAGATCCCTTTAGTAGAACGAGAGAGAAGCATGTATACGCAACAACGGCTTCTACTTTTTACAATCAACTTAATTTGAAGAAATACATTCAAGTGTGGACACAAAAATAATGAGAACATATCCTTTTCCTTCAAATTTGAGTTCATAATTTGCATCAGATAATTTTGAATTTCAACATAGACAGAAAAAATAAATCTTTTTTTATGCGGATCTCCCTACCAAATACTGTAAGATGCTCATAAAAATACTAGAAGTCAAACAAAGAGAAGATGTTTAACCTGTGAATTGATGACATAAACATCCGCAGCAGAGTAAAGCGAGGCAACACGAGTAGTCGCTGGCGTCCACAGAACGGATCTTGATAAATTTGAATGCACGGATAGAAACCTCAGGGTTTCTTTCACGTATTGTACTTTATTGCTTTTAGATCCAACAGATCCAATGAGCACTTTCAGCACCTGCTGTGGCTTCCCTTCACTATCAGACAATGTTTTTCTTCTTCGAGCGATGTGCTCAGAACTTAAAGCATCTTTCCCACTCTCCCTCATGGGACCAGGCAATGACAAAGTTTTTCTCTTAGGGTTTTTCAAAGAATCAAAATAGCTGGGTAGTTCACCCACTGATTCAGAATCATACCTATCCTGAAACAATGCTCTCAAATGACTCTTTACAGTGGAGTTCAATTCCTCCTGGGCCTTGCCAAACCCTGCAAGGTTTTTTAATTTAGTACTATGCTGCGAGGAGCCATTCTCTATCACCAAGCATGCCGATTCAAGAAGCAGAAGCTGGCCTTTTCCAGGGTTTATGCTACTCAGAGATATCAAAAGCATGTCGTTTTCTGTTAATCCCATCTCTCTTCTGACGGAATCCCTCAGCAACATCCTTTTCTCCTTCATCATTCCGGTGCTGAAGGACGGGGTGTTGAGTGAAGAACGAATCCCAGCAACAAAAGCCAATTCGTCATTAACAGATAGTGGGACTACAGAAGGTGGATATCTCAACTTTATTTTTTCTTCCTCACACCAAGTCAGCCACTGTTTAGACTGTGACTCTGAAAGAAAAATAAGCATCTTCACTCGGTTGAGTACAGGTTTTGCACGATCAAAATACTCTCTCCTGTTCTCCATGATCCACCAAGTGATCTGACTCCCACCAGCTGGAAAGTGCTCAATGTATTGATCTGAAATAAGTATGTCCCATGAGAAGAGACAGCAATCAAATAAATTCATAGAGTTTCCCTAGTACGATTAAGTAGGTTTTGTCAATTAACTCTAATTACCTGGTCCAAATTCAGCCATGTGAAACTGGACATCAAAATTAAGCCACACGACAATGTCATGTGAATCCAGTCTTATTTAAAAACTTTATTAGAATCGATTCCTATTCCTACATGAGTGGGAAAATAGAGTAATACAAATAGAATCAGAGTGCTAACAGCAAAAGTTGAACAGAGATGATAAATTTGTTGGAGGAGACATGTCAGAAGGAACATTGCTTAGAGAAATCATCGACTAAGCTATTTTAGCCAGATTAATCATATGAAGGAAAAAGTAACTCTGCATTCAAATATTGGCAGCGACATAGATGTGTAAATATCACTTAGAGGTACTTCTTGAAAGTAATATGCAGTCTGCACTTTCCAGTGTTTAAAATGTACTAGTCTATGATAATGCAACGCAAATGGAGCAATATCTTGCATGAAGGAATGGTGCACAAAGGTATGGCCCTATATGCACTTCTACAAATTGAAAGTTTGGCTAAATAAAATTCTGCAAATAGATGAGGCTGATCCTGGTAAACCAGCCAAATACAATTAGCCATGAGACTGTTGATAATACTCAAACTTAGCACTCAATTTGCATTATTTTCACTCATGTGTCAAGATACTTCCACAGTTTGAATGCCACTGTGCTAATCATACTGGATGTGATCTCCTATTGAAGAACAAAACCATTTCCCTACAGAAAAAATAAACCAAATACTTTCAATTCAATAACATCTCACCAATCCATGAAGCACAGACTGCTGATCCAGCTATCACAACATCAGATTTCATGCCGACTTTGAAGCTGAAGTCTGCTTTGTCTTCAAGCACTTTAATTCTTCTCCTAACAAGCTCCGGCATCAATCCTCCCTTCCTGCTAAGAACCACAGCTGAAACTGTAGCCCCACAGCTCAATAGCTCTGTCGCAAGCTCCATCATTGATAGGGGAGCACCGGTCATGGAGAGCTCATGGAAAATCAACAGAAATCTCCTTGACCAAACAAGCCGAGCAAAATCTCCCTTCCGGTCACAGGTTCCTGATCGTTTCTCAGAACTCCATCCCAATACTCTGTCCTCTGTCATGCCAAATGGACCAACAAGGAGACCATAACTAGTATTTTTCAAGGGTATTTCGGGTTCCTGCTCTTCCAACTCTGCGCTCTTAACCTCCACCTTTGGTGCCTGTTTGCGAGCTTTACCCCTTGATTTACGCGACGATTTCTTATTCTTCTTCTTAGCAACACTTCGAGGAGATGAACCCCCATCGCCCTTGTTAGCCAACACCACACCTATTCTTTTATTTTCTGTCATCCTTATGTCAGTCTCATTTTTTATTGCCATTGTACTGTGGTTGGCAATCAAATTTCTTCTTTCATTGTCATGAGAGTCAGGATCATGATTCCTTGGTTTCTTTCTGAAAACAAGGAAATTATTTCTGTTCTCACCATGAGCCCATCTGGACTGGAAATAAAATCCAAGGTAAGCCCATAGGGTGATCAAAAGCAACCAATACACCAATCTGTTACTGCGGAACCACTGCAAACTAACTCCACCGGTTCTACCTTCTCTTCTTGGAGTTCGGCTAGAATGCAGTCTACGAAATGTAGGAGAATTCCTAGGTGTTGATCTGCCCGACAACGTGGGTTTATAGGTGCCGCCCTGCCTTAGCGACGATTGTCTGACAAAATTTCCCTGAGGGTCTCCTCTGTTTAACCCATCCTCCATCAGTCTCTGCTTTGTTTCCAAATTATGTCACACCAAAATCCAATCTGCAGTACTTAGAGATGCCCCGACTCCACGAAGGCCAAAGCACTCGAAATTTTTTTAATCAACGGATTATATGAAATTCTTCACCAGCACGCCCCTTTAAATTTCCATTCTATATCAAACAACAAAGCAGAGAAACTAATATCATGATACGCGAACATGGAAGACATCAAGGCACCAAATAAGAAATCTTTTGTTGAGTAGCATTCATAAAGATAGAATATTAATCATTGATAGAAAGATATCACCAATTCATCATCATTACAAGGAACTAGCAATCTACTCGGCAATAACACATACCAAAACAGGAAACATCCATCTTATCGGCTAGAAAGACCATAAGGCAAGACATTCTTAGCTCAACATCTATCTTTTTCTCAGGCACATTCTCAAACGAAGGCCAAACCGAGATGAATCGAGAAAACCGACACGGAACACGGGAAATTGGCATCCATCACGATAAGATCAAACGACGTTCCAGGAACACTCTACTCCGACCGACTCGATGATCATCCACATTGCCTCGAAAACCAGAACAAATCCACAAAACCACAATCCTCAGTCCAAGACGAAAAAGAGACGCGTACGGGGGACATACCCTCGGTTCCGAGCTCGAATCGTGCGAAGCCGTCAAGCCATGCGATCGGACCTTAAACCGGGGAACGAGCTGTACAACAGACGGATGCAGCTCGAAGAAGGCGCCACTCCCACTCCCGCGAGCAGACGCGACGACCGGGAACTAGAGAGTCTTCGTGCTGGTCGCGGCGCGGACGAATCTGGCCTGAGCTTGCGGAAACGAAGCTCGGAGCGAAGCTCAGGGAGAGAGAGAGAGAACGCCGTGATCACAGGAACTGTGTAAGATCTGGTAAGCTGCTTCGGACAAGGGAGAGAGACAGAGACAGAGACAGAGAGAGAGACAGAGAGCACGTGCGAGTCCCACTCGTGTCAACGGAACTGGGGCATGATACCCGACGGCGCAGGATGGTGTTCTCGTCGTTGCTGTGTCGTCGGTGGTATCTTAGCCGTTCGATCCTGACCGTCCGATTATGTAATCTTACTTATTTCCCCGATCAAAGTCCAAGGTGGTAGGTGTTCCATTTTTGGGTTAATACAACGAAAAACCCTAAACTGGTATATTTGTGACACATTTACCCTAAACTATTATTTTGATCATAAAAAGCCCCAAACTGGTACACCTGTGACAATTTTACCCCAAACATACCACAAAAAACCCTAAACTGGTACACATATGACAATTTTACCCCGAACTAATTTTTAATATTATTTTTTTGAAATTTTTTTAAATTTTTTTATTTTCTTTTCCTTCACCTTCAACCTACGGGCGATCGCCGGGTCCAGCGACCAGCCGGAGGCGAAGCCGACGAGCGGCCCTCGCCGACGCGAGAGATCCGCGAGGGCGACCCTCGCCTGCGTCGGGCGAGGGCCGTCCTCGCCTGCCCAGGGCAAGGGCGACCCTCGCCCAGCTCGGGTGAGGGCGGCCCTCGCCCAATGCGGGCGAGGGTCGCCCTCGCAGATCCGGCGAGGCGGCCCTCGCCCGTCTGCACCGGGAGGGTCGCCCTCGCCAGGATGCGCGCGGCGACCCTCGCTGCGTCGGCGAGGGCCGCCCTCACCCGAGTCGGGCGAGGGTCGCCCTTGCCCTGGGTGGGCGAGGGCCGCCCTCGCCCAGGACGCCGACGAGGGCGGCTCGCCAGCTTCAGCCTAGCGGTCCGGACCGCGACCGGCCAGGGTTTGAAGATGAAAAAAAAGTAAAAGAAAAGAATAAAAATAAATAAAAAATCGAAAAAAATAAAAAATAAAATTAAAATTTTAATTCAGGGTAAAATTGTCATATATGTACCAGTTTGGGGTTTTTTGTGGTAAGTTCAGGGTAAAATTGTCACAGGTGTACCAGTTTGGGGTTTTTGGTGGTCAAAAAAATAGTCCAGGGTAAAATTGTCACAGGTGTACCAGTTTGGGGTTTTTTATGGTCAAAAAAATAGTTTGGGGTAAATGTGTCACAAATGTACCAGTTTATGATTTTTCGTGGTATTAACCCTCATTTTTTTGGGCCCTCTTTTGAAATACGAAGCTAATAATTCGACCTTTACTTTATATTTTCTTTTTCGGATTTTCGTTTGAGAGAATAACCCGAAAATATTAAAAACACCGCGTGTAATTATTGAATTATCGTACCAAGTACTTGGCAGTGGGAGGCGACGGTCCTCGCTGATCCCGTTTTGATATTGGTAGATGCGAATTTTGTGTTCGAAGATATACTATACTGAAATGGAGTGAAATTGACTAATTAACAAATTATAGTTGCAGGGTACTCCAACATAATTAGTGACAAGGAGATGCATGTAAACGCTCATATAATTGGTTGACTTAAGTAGTATCATATGGACACTTGTTAACAAGATCTTTTTCTTCGAACTAAAAAAAAACACTAAATCCTTTGCTTATTTAATTGCTTAAAAAATATCACGACAGTACTGTCGATCCAAAAATTTTTGACAAAAAATATCCCAGATCACTTGATAATAAGTATTAGTTGATTTGAAACCTGCGCTTTATCATTGACAATTGTAGTTTCAATCTTTAGATACGTATTATTATTATTTTTTTGGTCAATAATCTTTAGATACTTATGAAGTGCGACAAACTGTAGACAAGATCCTTAAGAAAATGTTGTTTTATTTTATTAGGCAATTTCTTGCTTACCTTTGTTTCTTCTTTGTCTCAGACAGATTGTCGGCTAACCATCTGATAAAAACGTCAACGGAAATCTATGGTAGCAGTAAATGGCACTTATTTCCTCATCGAATTCAAGCACAATTGGTGTCAAATTCCCGAATTTTGAATTTGGATGATACTTTAGCTAGTACTTATAGAACTGCTAAACTCTTCATTACTCATCATACAATCAAAACTGAAAGCCGATCAAGAGTTTGTGACATGATCTTAGGAGAAATGGAGATGAAATTAGGTGTGAAGGTGGGTCTATAGATGGTTACCGTGATGGGCATGCTCTACGGGCACGCAATCGTGAGGTTTGACAAGTGCTGCGCCGTATGCATCACGTAGAAGATGCCCGTGCCGCGTTATGATCCGAAGATGCACTTGCCTCGTGCTTGGAAGTGCCTCAGTGCATCTTCGTCCCGGCTTCAAGTGACACATTCTAGTGTTCTCCGAGCTGCTCCATTTGACTCTTGCTATGAGACCATTCATAGTGTACATAATCTAGTGGTGCTAGAGAGAGGAACTTCTCCACGGAACTATTAAAATAGGTCATAAATCAATTTATTAATTCATATATAATGAGTTGAGTTGCTATATGGGTTAGTTATATACAGTAAATAAGTCATAAATATGTTTTTTTTTGTAAGGAAAGTCATAAATATGTTAAAACATAATATATGTGTTAAATAAGTCATAAATTAATTTACAACTTACTTAGATCCAACTCATCTTTATGACTCTCTTTTCATTCTCTCTTGCTCTTATTCAATCTCGCACTCACTCATTCCGCACTCTCACCTCAGTTTGCGTATGAATTTCTTTAAATTGAATTAAATATAGAAGTATTTTAATAATATAGATCGATTATGTTGTTGGGTATAGGTCAAGTTAAGTGTAAGTCACTAAATTTACGTTGCATGAAAATGAGTCAAAATGGAGTGAATGAATCTATTTGGGTCGGATTATTTTCTATTCGAGCCACCCATTTGATGGGTCTACTTCTCAATAGTGATGTTTGGATATATGCTTTATGCAAGATCAAGCCCGGTAATGAAAGTGTTCAATATTGGCAGATCACCGAAACCATCGCTTTAAATTTTTCTGTGGTTTCAGTTTTGGCCTCCTCTCTATTTTCCTTAAATCCTGGGCGACATGTGGCGCATGTTACACCACTAGATGACCCGACAGCTTTAAAAGTTTGAATGGATATCAGCACGGGGCTATGACAATGAATTGCGAAATGGAATGGGGCTTCATTTTCCTCTGCCAACAGAAACATTAATGGGGCTCCAGCAGCTTTTGTCTTCATCTAGATTCAACGTAATGCTACATGTACTGATATCTTACTAAGAAAACCTTACTAATGATATGGCATGTCCCATGTCTACTATGTGTATGCTAAGTAAGAATAATAGAATGGGAATGAAAAGGAGACCAGTAAATAATTCAGAAACGTCAATTCTATTCAACTTGAAACACCTCTACCAAAAATCAAGCGCAAGAATTGGAACACTTTTCACTTGTTTGATCTTCTGTCATTAGTTCTTGATTTTACATCCTTATGTAATTTTATGTGGGTTTGATTCTCCAAGCAAGGGCTGTCATTCGTTAGAGAAATAGCAGCATAGGTAGTCAAGGGAAAAAAATATAGTTTTCCTATACAAAAAAAATGCACCTTTTCCAATCTTTAAAAAAAAAAAACAATTGGGCTCATTCTTTATTTATTTGTTCTAATATTGGCAAATATATAAGTTCTTATTTGAGCTTAACCTGTTTCGTGGACCTTTAAGAAGAAGATGACCTTAATTCCAAAGACATTGAAGAGTTCAATGGGGATCTCGAAGCTATAGAGGCCCCTTGGTGATGCACAGAAGATAGGTTGAGATGATGCAAGTAAATTCATATTTAATCCACCTTTGAACTCTATTTCCAATGGAATAAGTTGGCTTCATACTTGCTAATAGGTGAAGGAGATAGGAAATAGTCATGTTTCTTCCTTTGACCGTGCCTTAGATATATTTTGCTGCCTTCTTTTTTTTTTTTCTATGTATAGTTTTTGCTGACTCAATACATCTCTCATGACATGACATAGGCATATACATTGTCATGTCATTTAGTAAGTTTCCCAATCTTAATACCATGTAGCATTCCTATATAGCTTATATTTGACTATTTTGTTGGGCTATGTCAATCACTAATATCACAACACATGTATGAAACACATCGTTATTTAATAGTTCAATATATTGAAATATAGACGGTTGCCTATCCAATTTAAGTTGAAATAAGAGAGAGAAATCTCAAATCCAATTCCTCATCATCGTTCTACCAGCCTTGGCATGAGGGAGAGAATTTCAAAACATAAAAAATTAAACCATTTTGTCTTCCCTTTGTCTTTTATGTCATGTCATTCATAAAATGATGATTTTTAGACACCATCCACACACTTGTATATATATGTGTATATATATACGGTCCTTGGCAGATAGTCTTATTAGCAAAAACACCAAAAAGGGGCAATGGAGAGAGTTGGTGTGGCGAAATTGGCGAAGGGGGTGATGATGATAATGGTGCTTCTTCTTGTGCATGCTGCTATTGAGGCAGAAGCGAGGAGGTACGATGAGAAATGCTACCGGAAATGTTCTTCCGGTTGTATCGGCAAAATGAGGCCCGTGTGCCTCGCTATTTGCATGAAGAGATGTGCATTGCCTCCTCTGGTGAACCTCGACGACACCTGCGTCTTCGGCTGCGCTGAATCAACCTGCAACAACATCAGCCCTCCTGGTACCATCAATCAATATTCATGAATTTCTATAGATAGATAGATAGATCGATCGTGCTCGTGCATGAATTTGATTAACAAATAACGAAGTTTATTGCAGTCTTTTCAAGAACATGCTTGGCTTAATGAATTTGAATTTGAGTCATTTCAGATGCCTATGTTCTCTCTTTTTTCAAAGAAAAGATTCAGATGTAAATTGCAAAGGGTTAGCGATCCTGTTCTTTAGTTTTATTTTGTTGCTATTTCTGGCAGATGAAGATAAAGTGGAAGCCAGTGTGGATGCATGCTCGGAGAAATGCAAGATCAAGTGATGGAAGAAATGTAGCCATTGTTGGGACGAGGTCTGCTACA